CCTGGCATCTTTTTTTTTTTTTTTCCTCAGAGGATCGGGTTAGAACCCGAGGCGATCCTCCTCGTTCTCCGGCAAGTATGGAAATGAAAACTCCCGCATGCCACCGAGATATTCCACATGTCACTCTCCGTGGAACGGATAAACTTTGACACTTTCCAGCGCCGCTTTACAATTTCCAAATCTCCCCACGGTTTCCTGCAAGACCTAAAAAAAAAAAAAGCGATGCAACTCACCACTTCGGACGAATGGGTCACCGGCGGAAGCGCATCTTGATCCTTGTCGCAGGGGGTCTTCCCGGCATGAGCCACGCAGATCCGGTGAAAGCAACCCAAGCATTCTGCAGCAAAAGAATGAGACATGAAGACCTCCTCTCCTTCCTGGCTCCTCCCCGTCAACCACTTCTGACAGAGGTCCCGGGCCTTCGCCTTCGACGCCTCGCTCGGTCCCAAAAGCAGCGGCGGGTAGTAACAAAGGCAGCAGCAGGTCGGGATTCGCGGCGGCGGACATTCGCACGGCCTCGAAACGTCGTTCCCGCGGAAGGACTCCACGACCTCGAAAGTCCTCTTGATCATGAACTGACTCTGACGGTAGACCTGACCGAAACTGGCCGATCGAGGTCGATTGCTGAGCATGACATCCCGGTGAATATAGTTCGCATTGTCGACCACGAGTCCCAACGACGGATACCCCGTATCCCCCTTTCCGAAAACGTTCTTCCCCGCATCGAAGAGCTTCGGGCTCACGATCATCATGGCGAACGAACCGTCGCCTCCTCTGGACTCGATCTCGATCGGCTTGGAGCGAACGTACGGATTCGGCTGGAGCGTGGGTAGACTTCGCGAGGACCCGGAAGATTTCAACACGCCGTCCAACGTCTTATTCGACACCAAATATCCCTGCTCTTCCTTGTCGTTCAAAACGTGCGACCGATCGGATGGAAAGCTGACATCGATCACGGCGCTCATGTCCAGAATTCCCCTTTTCACGGATGCCGGATGCGAGCACCAGTCCACAGGTCTATCACAGAGCGTATCGGCATGTACACGCGCGGGTTCGTCCGGCGTCGAGCGGAATATCACAAAAGTAGTCAAAGAGAAAGGGAAGAGAAGCGAGTCCCGGTAGATGGAAAATAAGACCGGACAGACGAGCGAGACGACCACCTTCCGAGTCGGCAGGCCGGCCGCAGACTGAGCTCCTGAGTTTCAAGCACGAGCAAGGAAGTGAGTGAGCGCGAGAGAGAGACGCAGGAGAGAGAGAGAGAGAGAGAGAGAGCGCGCCGCGGTGAGAGAGATCTCCACGGATTTCGGAAACGTTCCCGAACCCGAATGGAGCCCAGAGAAAAGCCCTCCTCTCCCAACCACTCGTCGAACCGCACCTCCCGCTCATACCTCTACCGAAAGCGTGCCAAACGACACACCCTACATCTGGTGGCCGCTCCCTGCACTACCCACCTAAAATCCAGTTCAATTGCTTCCCCTGATTTAATCAATTTAATATCCCTACCCGGAAAGGAGCAGAACGCCAGGTGCAAGACGGCCGAGAAGAAATTCCCATCTCCCATTCCCTCTCCTCTTCGGCCCCCCTGAAAAGAAAATCTCGAGCTCGATCGCGGGTCTGATGAACTCGGAAGCTCTCAGACCTCCGAACGGAAAAGAAAGACGAGGTCGACGAGTACGCGCGGTGCGCTCCAATCTAGACATAAAGCAAAAGAACGATAAGGGAAAAAGGCGGGTGGTGGGAATGCCAGCGAATGCACAACGATCGATGAGACGGGGGATCACTGGGAGCGTTCCAATAACGTCCTCTCTGAATAAGCAGAAGCTCCGATTCCGAGAAAAACCTTCATTATCGCAACCTCATCTCGTGCTGCGCATGCCGTAACTCGTCCTGGCTTTCCCACACGGAAACTTCGTACGAGCGTTCCGACATCCGACAGATGCAATCGACAAGAAGATGATAGCCCGAGAGAGATGGGTCCGACCCCTACAAACGTCAGCTGTCGAATGCCTCTATAATAAGGTGCGGATTAGGCTTGTTAAAGGGGCGGATTCTTCATCGATCCAATCCCAAGGCCTCGGTTTCCCCTCGCATCTCGGAGACGAATCGAGCAGCAGGCCGAGTTCCAGCGAGGGACTAATTACTCATCCAGGTATCCGAGTCGGTTTCGGAGGAAAAATCTCTCTCCATTTCCCCCCC